TTTAGCAACTAAGCAGATAACAATGGAAAAAGTAAAAAAAAAAAAAAATGCTTTTAGATAAAATAAATGCCCATCATACAATTTCGTAGCCCTTTGACAAATGCTATATACATGTTTAATAATGTACTTAATAACGCATTAAAACAGGCCACGCATGGTGGCTCAGACTTGTAATCCCAATGTTTTGGGAAACGGAGGTAAGAGGATCACTTAAGGCTATGAATTCAAGACAAGCCTGGGCAATATAGTAAGACCTTGTGTCCATTTTTTTAAAGTTAAAAATTAGGCCGGGCTCGGTAGCTCAGCCTATAATCTCAGCACTTTGGGAGGCCGAGGTGAGTGGATTGCCTAAGCCCGCGGGTTCGAGACCCGCCTGGGCAACTTGGTGAGACCTCATCTCTACAGTAAATCAAAAATTAGCCGGGCATGGTAGCGCATGCCTGTAATTCCAGCTATTTGGAAGGCTGAGGCGGAAGGATCGCCAGAGCCCAGCAGGGCGAGGCTGTGGTGCCGGGGAGCAGCCACCGCACTCCAGTCTGGGCGACAGAGTGAGACTCCAACTCAAAAAAAAAAAAATTAGCCAGGCTTGGTGGTATGTGCCTATACTCCTAGCTACTGGGGAGGTTGGAGCAGGAGGATAGATTGATGCCAGGAGTTTGAGGTTGCAGTGCAGTGAGCTATGGAAGCGCCACTAAACTCCACCCTTGGCAACATAGCAAGACTCCGTTTCAAAAAAAAAAGTATCATAAAAAATAGTGTTTTAAAACACATATATAAGGAGAGTGAAAGAGACATTCATGGTTGAACAAAAATTGTTTATGGCAAAAAGTATTCATAACATATTTTTATTTGATGTTTCTTTTTTAGGAACTTGTGATAAAGATGCAAATGTGGAGTTCTTTATATTAGCAAGATTAAACTAAAATACACTTTATGTGATAATTTAGTAATAAGGAAGGAACTAAGTAAATAATTGCTTTCTTGATATATCTTTAGAAGAGGATTTACAAAAATACATTAGACAAGAGGATAATCTTATTAGAAAAATTTCATACTTGTATTCCTTTGTTTAACAGTCATCAAAACAAATCATCAGTGTACTGAAGTGCTTACTGAATAGCAGCAAAATTAGTCAGTATGTTAATCCTTGGAAAATGTAATATTATTAGGGGCTCAATAATAAGATTATGCAAATAAAAAGGAATAGAAAACATTTCATGAAGACATCATTAAGTATTTACTGAACATATTAGCAAAGAGATTACCCACATCTTGATTGATATATGCACTATTTTCCACAATTGCTGGAGAACTAAACTGCAAAAATATTCTCTTTCAGTAAAGCCCTTTGGTACTGAATTTCATGAACGTCAGCAGAGAAGTTGGATTCATTCATAAATGCCAGTTACGGAGGATTTGGGAGGACCTGACTACCATGGGGGAGTAATAGCTGCTACCAGAGCTGTGGAGGTCACCCAAGGCATAGAGCATGACAAAACTGGGAAAAGACAAATTTGCAGTAAAGAATACATGATAGTAGACATATATGTTGAAAAAAAACAAGCAACTGTTCCAATTTAGGAATCTGAGAGGAGGAATTTCCACACTGGGCAAGTGGAGAAACCAAAGATTTAAGCCTAAGAAATTCCTAAGTAGCAGGTAAAGGAAAGATCCTGGGGTCCTATTGACATTGAAGGGATTTGGAGGGAACTTCAGGTGACTGGAACTGGGAGAAGGCCACGAGTCATACTTTTTTTTTTAAGATATGTAAGATTTTTTTAAGACATGTAAGAATCTTGAGACTGTATTCCTAGACAGAATCCACCTGAAACTTAGTATTAGGGTCTCAAGAGCCTAAGAAAGGAAAGACCATACAAAAGAGGCTTTATAAAAGATGTAGGAACCAGCATCACTGCCACTGGCATTTTTAAATTTTGCCAGAATCCATAAAAATGTCAGATGACTTTCTCTAGAGAAAGACTCTATAATTTACAAGTAGCAGTTATTTTTCTCAACAGAATATAGGAGACTGGTGTCCCCCCAATTTTATTTTGTTGTTGTTAAACTATTTTTCTCAGTTATTCAGTTATAAGGTTATAAGTGGTGTTTCTCAGAAAGCCAGTATAGATTGACTAGAATCCTGGCACAAATTAATATGAACTTTTCTGTCTTCTGCCTCCCTCTTCCCTTTCTCTCTTTTCTTTCCCTCTCCCTACACACACACACCATTAAACCTTTGGCTAAGGGCTGATAGCACATACTGGTTTTCAGCAACTCTGGTGGGATATTTTGGGGGGTTTTATTTTATTGTTTCTTTCCTTCCTTGGTGTTATTATAGGAAGACATGATATTAAAATTACAAACAGATATCTACATTTGGTTGATATTTTGTGCATGTATACCTAAAAAATTTTGGAATCTGAGAAGTTACTACAATACTTCTTGAGTCTAGACAGTTTTTTATAATCTTCTCAGATTGTTTCAAAGGAAATATCCCATGAAATTACCAAGGACCCAAGGACAAAGAAGGAAATTAAAAGGTATCTCCCTGGAACACTCTGACTTTAGAAATTGAACATATTCAGAGGCATAAAAGGAAAACTTAAGTAAAAAAGCAAGAAGACATCAGAAACTGGCATGTAAAGAGAAAACTACTGCTCAGGTGTTAAAAGAAGATAGCAGAAACTCGGAAGAATGTAACCAACTTTAAAGTCAGGTCTTCAACTTGAAATCAAAAAAGGAACTACAAAAAAAAGAAAAGAAATGGAGAGAAAGAAATTTAGATCTAGCAAGCATAATTGGCCATTCATGAAGAAGAGAAGGAATGGACCAACTCTGAACCAAATGAAGCTTTGAAAACCCAACTGAATATATGTGAAAATTCCACCACAGACAGACTCAGAAGCTAGATGGTAAGAAGCCGTGTAAAGGGGTTGTTGGAGCTTTGACTTGCTTCTTAGAACTTATGTAAAGAGGCTGAATGAGAAACTTAGGGTTTTAGCAACCCAGTTAAAAGACTTACTACTCTCCCAAAGGAAGGCAATGTAGGTGAGCTCACCAAAGTGCTTATTCCAGAGGATTAAGAACTTATGTCTGTACAAAAGCCTACACATGAATGTTCATAGCAGTTTTATTTGTAATAGCCAAAAACTGGAAACAACCCAAATGTCCTTCAATAGATGAATGGTTAAACAGTGGTATGTCGAAACCATGAAACACAACTCAGCAATAAAAAGGAACAAATTATTGATACACTCAATTTAGACGGATATCAAGGGCATAATGTTGAGTTGGAAAAGTCAATTTCAAAAGGTCACATTTTGCATGATTTCATTTGTATAACATCGCCAACATGACAAAATTAAAGAGACGGAGAACAGATTAGTAGTTTCCAGGGGCTAAGGATGGTTGAGGGGAAGGAGTAGATTATACATGAGGAAGATCTTTGTGGTGATAGAACAGTTCTGTATCTTGATTGCAGTGGTAATTACAGAAATATACACATGTGATAAAACAGCATAAAACTATACACATACATTGTACTAATGTCAGCTTTAGTATTGTGCTACAGTTATATAAGATGCAATTAATGGAGCAAACCAGATGAAGGGAACAAAGGCCCTTGCTACTGTCTTTGCAACTTCCAGCAAATCTATAATTACTTCAAAATAAAAACTCTTTAGAAAAAATCTAACTATGCTCAAGTATAAGACAAAATGCATTATATAAATATTGAAGTGGTATTGTCCTAAATACTTCATCTGACAAAATGTTGTCTTCTGAATTTATAAAGTACATTTTTTCCCATACATCTCACCACTTTTGGTATGAGGGTATCAGTTTAATTAATCATCTGGATCTCTTTGTGTAAGAACATTTTCCTCCTGAAAGACACTGAAGCAGACAGCACTTGGAATCCTTACTCTCTCACAGACAGCAAGCTCTAACAGGCAATAAGAGCCCATGTGTTCCTGTTTCAGCACTTGAACATGGGGAGTTTTAGAGGAAAAGAAGCTAAACAACTGCTAACATTGTTACTCCAATAGCTTTCAGACATTTGGAACTATGAAAACTACCTGCTTAGACCCAAAATATTGACCTTTCAAGGACCAGTCAGTGCAAATATACAGAACCAATGTCCCTGGACTCCAACTGCTCTCTGATCAATGTCTAAATCTAAACATCTGCGATTTAGAAGCTCAAAAAGATGACCTTGCCCAAAAATCAGCAAAAATGATCAAAGGTATAAAAAGAGCTAATAATGCTAATTATAACTTCAGTACAATGATCTTAACATTACTCTAGGTATCAGAACTAGGCTTGGATAAATCATCTAAGTCAGTTTGAAGACACAGATGGCGGGAAAGTCTCCCTCAAGACCTTTTAGAACAGCTTCTTGGGTAAGTACTTCCTTTATGTCCTGGTCTTCTGATATCATTCTGCCTCAGTCTAAGTGAGAGCACATAGTTTTTGGCCCCTTTAAAGGGCATTCTGCTACCCAGAACACCACCAAGTTTTGGTACTCGGGTTTGCATGCTGAATCCTAGACACTTCTCAATGCTGAGTGGGCTAATATTTGCTAATACTTTCATCCTTGCAAACAGGCATATATTAAACCTAGACTGTTTGTAATGAAGACTAAATGTATAAACTGTTTTATTAGTCTTAACTGTAAAAACCTACATAGAATTGTATCCTGAGGTCAACTTTAGTTCAGAAAGTCAGTATTATCTAAAATATTTATAAACGATATATCTCACATCAGATTCTGTCTGCTTTTTTGCCAACAAAATCTCTCTAAATGCTGGTCCTGGCCCCTTCAAGAGAGCTCTGCTGGGAACAACACTATGAGTAGAATAAAATTACAGAGTTACCATTTTGATCTTTGTATCACTCTATCCACACTGTGTTTCATATGTTAATACAGTCTAAAGAGTAAAATTTATTATCTTGAATTTTTATTTTCTAAGGTTGAAAAAAAATTAAATCAATTGCAATACCTTTCTGAAGACAAAGTAGTTGATTGTAATCCTATCTTGGATTAGAGTCTGGAAACTGCTAAAAATAATATCTTTTAAAAAAAAAACAAGATACTTACAGCCAACCATCATCATGGCCACCGAAAACATTTTCTCCACATCTGTGGTAGGAGCTATGTTTCCAAATCCTATGGTTGTAAGGCTTGTCATGGTAAAGTAGAGAGAGGACACATACAGTGAGTCCTTGCTGGGTCCTCCTTCCCAGATCCCTGCACTGCTATTGTATCGATACGGAGTTCCAATGTTCAAGGCCAGCTGGTAAAGCCAACTGTCTGTTTGGATGGTGTTCGTGACTTCGTCAATGACCTCGTAGTCTCCGATGCTATACCATATGCAGGCCAGCCAGTGGGCCACCAGCCCAAACACACACACCAGGAGCACAAGGACTGCTGCTCCGTATTCTAGGTAATGGTCCAGTTTCCTAGCAACACGGCCCAGTCGTAAGAGACGCACCACTTTTAGAGAACTGAAGAGACTGCTGATTCCCTGAATAAAATAAAAGAAACAACATGGCACTTTCAGAAAAGAAAATGTTGGGAATATAATACAATAACTCACCTGCATAAGATTGATCACCCATGTATATACTACGTTTATAACATACATATAACATAGCTCTGGCTTTAAGTAAACAAAAGAAGCCAAAATGGTAAACTTTTTTTAAAAGTGCAGATTCCTTTCCACCCAGCAATAAGATATTTGTGAATGACTAGATAAAAGTTTTTCACTGGTTAAGAAATATGCAATTTATTTTCATATGTGGAATATAAATGACAGAGAAAGACTGAATAACCAAAGATGAAAATTGCTCCAATGCAAAATACAGAGTGTAGAAATAAAGGTGTTGAATTCCAGTCTTCTGTCTCTTCTTCCTATAAAACTCTTCCTCTACTATAAAATGTTTCTTTTTATTTCTTGCCTTATAATACTACAAACAGCAAAACTTTTGGGGAAAAAAGGAAGCCCAATCTTACAGCCAAGCAAACAGGAAACACTCCTGTGCATATGGGGAGAATGAGCAAACATCATGTTGGTCCAACTACCTCCGGCCACAGCCATGAGAAACAACATGTTTCTAGAGCTCTGAAACGTGAACAGAGCTGAACCTAGAATGGATACATAACCTACTAAGTTCTAGTATCCTCTAGCAAGAGTCATAAAAAAGAATACCAAAAGGGAACAGAAAATTCATAGTTTGCTGAGTAGCTAAAAACAACAAATAAAGTATTATCCAAATCAAAGTATAGCACAGGCTTTCTTAAATCAATGCAGCTCCCGTAGTTACTTTTTTGGAAGCATATAATAGGCCACCTGAGGAGGTAAATAAGTGGATTCCTGATGCAGATCACAAAATAGGGAGGAAAGATACAGCAGTGATCTGGAAAGCCTTTCATCCTATCATCATCTATAAGTCAAACTGAGTCCATACCTTCCTTACTGCTGATTCCATCTCCTGGAAGTAGACAAGGAATCTAATATAACTTGCTCTGAGCTTAATTCTGACCAACATGGAGAAACTTGTTGTTGTAGAAGAATGGTTGTGGCATTAATGAAACTCTAATTACAGCAAGTAAAGTTCTTGATAGTTAAGGCTGAAAAGGCTAAGAATGCATTTGAGTGGTTACACTATATGCTACATGATAGTATGTGCTTCAAATTTTTCAAAATAAAATTTTAAAAGAAAGAGAAAAAGAGAAGTAGAAAAAAGAGTCCCCAAAGATGTAAAAGAGTAGCAGGGTCACCTTGCCAATTTTCCATCTCAACTTTGATTGCCTTAGGCCTACCTCAATTTCAATTGCAACCCTCAAATACTGTGGCATAGGCAGCCTAACAATAAATTCTTATTTTGCTTGAGTACTTGAGGGTGGGGAAAGATATTGAACTTTAGGTAGTTAAAAAGAGTAGAATTAATAAAATTCAGAGGACAAATTGGCATAATTCAGAGTCACGAGATGCTGAAAGATAAGAAGATTCAGGAAAACTTAGAAGTAATGAATCTGTGTAATCATGAAAAAGAAAGACAAAAATAAACATGTACTGAGCACTACTATATGCCAGGCTCTAAGATGAGCCTGGGGACATTAAGATAAATATACCTTGCTTCTTTTCTAAAGAAACCCATAATCGAAATGCATGAAAAACTCAGAGTTCAATGTAAAAGATAAAAACAACATTGCTGTAGGTACTGTTTTCTAGTTAGCTCAAACTTTTATAGGAACACTGGGACTTCTGTTTAAATACTGCATAGAAAAGTTATTTCTACCTGAATTCTTTTCTCTAGAAACAAAAAGAAAGAAAAACAGGAAATCTTCATCCCATTCAAACTAAAAAGCATCCAAAAGCCCCAACTACTATGTGAAATTCAGGCCTTACTAGAATTAGGCCCATTACTAGAATGGTGGGAAGACACACATCTCTGATCTCTATATGATTTCTCTAAGGGGAGGTAGCCTATTTTGGCAGGCACCTGCTCTGGACCCCACTTATTTAAGCCACATTTTCTAATATATAAAAAGAATGAGGGGGGATCCAAAAATGGAAAATATTTATAGAAAACTTTTGTGTTTATTCTTACATCTTTAAACTTCAGTCACCTTCAAAGTGCTCCCCATTTGATGCAATACACGTATCGAAATGCTTTTTCCACTGCTCAAAATGGTTGTTGAACTCGTCAATTTTGATAGCTTTTAGTACGCCTGCCGTTTTTGGTTTCACCTCTTACACATCAGCAAAGCATTTCTCTTTAAGGACTTTTTTCACCAGGGAACCAAAAAATTGTCACTCCGTGAGATCAGGTAAATAAGGAGGATGAGGCATAGGGGCCAACAGTTTTTGATCAAAAACTGCTGAACACTCAGAGCAGTGTGGATAGGTGCATTGTCATAGTGGAAGAATCAGTCACCTGTTTGCCACAATTCAGGACATTACTTCCACAAATCATGATGCAACCTTCTCAAAACTTTCACACAAAAACTTTGGTTGCCCATTTGATCAAGAGGAACAAATTCTGAGTATATCACAAGAGACCCGCTCTCCAAAAGATAATTCTGGGTTGGGTCCCCCTCATAGTCTAACATGACTTACATATCACAAAATATTTTGTAAGTTTAGAAAGTAATGAAAGATTAGTTTTTTAAAAGTTTTTTGTAAACTCTCTCTGCCATTGGTTCTATGACACCACTTTCTCCTGGTTTTTAGCCAACTCCTCAGCTGACATTCTCTCAAAATCATTTTCTAGGGCTATCCTGCTCCATGTTTCCATTTCTGGTTAGGATCCCCATCATGATTGCCCTCAGCCCTCTTCTGGTTGACCTATTGCATATTCATTTTCAACCATCTTCTATGTATATATGAATGATTCCAGGTCCATCTCTCAGCACAAGGCACTCTTTTAAGTTCTCAGTGCATAAGCCAAATGCCTGCTGTATTTTTCCACTTACATGTCCCATAGGTATCCAAAAGTCAATAAGTCCTAAAAGGAATCCTTCACTTCTCGCAAGTCAGCTCTTTATCTTACATCTTGTGGATGGTATCACCATCCACCCAGTCACTCAGACTTAGGACTGAGCTTCAACTTACCCCTGTCCTGCCATACACAGCTGATCACCAAATTCTGAGGCTCTCACTGCCCAAAGTGCTTAAGTACTCAAAATATACCTACTTAATAAATATCTCAAAAATCTTCCTTCTTTTCCATAGTACGGCCTTGCCTTGGTCATGATGTCATGTTTTGTTTTGTTTTGTTTTTCCTTACATGACAGAAATAGTCTCTCCATTAGCCACGCTACCTCTATTCTTGCTTCCTCTGATTCACAGATCATACTATACAGGCTACCACCCCTTTTACTCTTTAAATGTACATCTATCTACTCATATCCCTTTTTAATCTGAAAATCCCTTCATGTGAGCTAATTACCTATATTATTAAATACTAATTCCTCACTATGACATCAAAGCCCATCAGGATCTGGTACCTGCCTACCTGGTCAGCATCTCTCCCACCAATTTCTCCATACATTCTCTATGCTGCTGCCAAGCATAGCTAGGTGTTGTTCCCAGAATGCCCATGTCTTTTTTTTATAAGGTATTCCCTCTGTTTAAAAGGTTTTGTCCTTCCACTCTCTTGGTGGCTGGGATCTTACTTACAGTCTCTCTCCTTTGTGTGTACTTCCATGACATCTTCTCCCTGCTCTGCCATCTTCTTCATCAGACTCTCACCCTTTCCCACACTGTGAGAATTAGGTGTCCTGCCATTGTGTTATCATACACTGTTTGCACATCTCTATTACAGCAGCTATCACTATCATACTTTATTGCAAATCTGTTTGCCTCATGACATCCCAGGAAAGTCTAAACTTCTTGAGGAGTATACCTGATATCAAATTCCAAAGCTGGCATACAGTAATATGTGAAGCAGTCAAAAATTCAGTGAGTAAGAGAATAAACTCTTGCAAAAACAAGCAAATGCAGGGGTGAATTTGGAGGTTTTGGTTAATAACAAACTCAGTATGATTTAACTGAGTTTGTAGAAAACAAAAATAATCAATATCACATGGAGTTGTAGTAATATATTACAGCAGTGAGTATGGAAGAGAAATTCTCCTGAGCCTCTCCACTGGCCAGGCCACATGTGTAAGAGATACATCAGATATGCTCATCACAGGACTACCAAAAAAAGAATTCAAGACTACTTTATTCAGAAATAGGAAAGGAACTGGAATAAAGGAGACTGGGACAGGGCACTGTAACCATATTCAAATACACAGGGCATGGATGAGGGCTAAGCTCACTCTGTGAAATCCTAATGTGGGTAGCCTGGGTCATAGAGTTACAGGGATAGGAGGATGGAGCAAAGATTTCAATAAACCTGTCTCACACCTCTATGCAGATAAGCAACCAGAAAGCCAGATCAAGAATTGCTCCTTGAAAAAAGACAGACAAGGCAATAATAATATTGAGAATAATATTGAAGATTTATTACATGCCAGGTAGTGTTCTAGTGTTTTTACTGTATTAACTAATTTAATCTTCAAAACAATCCTGTGTAGTCAATATAATTTAAAAATAGTCCAGAAAAATTAAGTAATTTGACTAAGTTCACACAGCTAGTAGAAGAATCACAGATTCAAATACAGGCAGTCTGACTCCAGAATCTTTGTTCTTTCTGAAACTCATCATACCTAGAACATAAAGTGTAATTCACCTAAGCACATTAGTACCTGCAATGGTGGCTTAAACATGGGCATTCTCTACATGTGAAGGAATGAAATTAAATACCTAGCCTCCCCTTCTCCCTATTCAGATGCAGCAATGATGCAAAATAGTGACCTGTGGAGGACCTGGAACTCTCTACAATCTGAGTTCTCTAGCATGGACCACTTCATTTTCACAATAAGAGTATTCCCTAACTTCATTGTTCATATGAGGACACCGAAGCTCAGACAAATTGAATGAATCATCCAAAGTCTCAGCTAGCAAGGAATGGA